GGTGGAAGGATCGCCTGAGCCCAGCAGGTCGAGGCTGCAGTGGCCGTGAGTGTGCCACTGCACTCCAGCCTGGGCAACAGAGTGAGACTCCAATTAAAAACGAAATAAAATAAAATAAAATAAGCTGAGCTCGGTGGCTCAGCCTGTAATCCTGCGCTTTGGGAGGCCGAGGTGAGTGGATTGCCCAAGCCCGTGGGTTCGAGACCCACCTGGGCAACTTGGTGAGACCTCATCTCTACAATAAATCAAAAAAATTAGCCGGACTTGGTAGCATGCGCCTGTATTTCCAGCTACTTGGAAGGCTGAGGCGGAAGGATGGCCGGAGCCCAGCAGGTCGAGGCTGCGGAGGTCGGGAGCGGCCACTGCACTCCAGTCTGGGTGACAGAGTGAGACTCCAACTCAAAAATAAAATAAAATAAAATGAAATAAAATAAAATAAAATAAAATAAAATAAAAATGTTCCCCAGTCTTCTTCCAGAAATTCTTATATCCTCTTCCCATTTCATTTTTCTTGATGGCTTTTTTCACTTTAAATTTTATTTTCACTTTCTAATATATGTTTTACTCATTTATTGTCTGTCTAACTCTCACTAGAACATAAATTTTTAAAATTAATTAGTTAATTAATTTTAATTTTGTGAATAAATAAACAGACAAACAAACACCAAGACTGTTAGAGTCCTTTCTAACTCCCCCAACTGCAACATTAAATGCAGAATTTCTGCTTACTGGGCCCATATCTATATATTTGGCCTGATCCAACTTTAAAACAAGCTTTGTGAGGGGAAAGAGAGTTATCTGCTTTGTTCAATGTTGAATCCCTAGCATCTCAGAATTATGCCTTGTACATAGTGGACACCCAAATGCTTGTTGACTAAATGAAAACTGTTGAGTTTGAAAAATAAGTTGCAGGAAAATAGGTACTAATAGCTAAAACTTAAAAAACGATTCATTATGTGCCAGATGGTGTTCTAAGTACTTTATGTATATTGTCCTATTTATACCATAAAAACACTAGAGGTGGACACCATCATAATTACCATCATCATGCTATCATCATCATCATCATCACCACAATTGACCTTTTGCAGATGAGAAATCTGAAGCAGTGAGGCATTGGGAAACTCAAGCAGTCTGGCTTCAGAGTCTGTTTTCTTTTTTCTTTTTTTGAGTTGGAGTCTCACTCTGTCGCCCAGACTGGAGTGCAGT